GCTCAGTCAGTCTTTGCGAGCGTCTTTGCTGCGCTGTTTTGCTCCGAGAATGGCAAGGACGGCTCGCTGCATCTCGGAGAGAGAGAGAGAGAGAGAGAGAGAGAGACCCAAAACCCAAGACCCTAAACCCAAAACCCTAAACCCGAAACCCTGAACCCTATGCCCTAAGCCGGAAACGAAGCACTCAGAGCCTTCAACGGCCACCCGAGGTGCCTCTGAAACGCCACTCGCTCGTCCCCCCACAAGCAGCCTCCACCCCCATAAGCCCCTAAACCCTCAACCCTAAACCCTAAGCCCTAATTCAACCCTAAACCCTAAACCCTAAGCCCTAAACCCTAAACCCTAAACCCTAAACCCTAAACCCTGCAAACCCCTACAAAAATGAACGCCCCGAAGCCTGAACCTTCGAAGGCCCAACCCCAAACCCTTAAGAACCCATTGGGAACAGCACCCGAAGCCCCAAACCCTAAAGCCAAAAACCCCAAGCCCTAAACCCGAAACCCTGAACTCTAACCCCTGAATTTCCCTGTGCCCTCAGCCCTCAACCCTCAGCCCTAAACCCTAAACCCTAAACCCTAAACCCTAAACCCTAAACCCTAAACCCTAAACCCTACACCCTAAACCGCAGGCGCTGCGAACGCCGGCCCGCCACCGGGGCCGCCGCCAGGCCATGGAGGAGGGGGGGTTTAGGGTTTGGGGTTTCGGGTTTGGGGGTTAGGGTTTGGGTTTAGGGTTTGGGGTTTAGGGTTTGGGGTTTAGGGTTTGGGGTTTAGGGTTTGGGGTTTAGGGTTTGGGGTTTAGGGTTTGGGGTTTAGGGTTTGGGGTTTAGGGTTTAGGGTTTAGGGTTTAAGGGTTTGTGGTTTCGGGTTGTGTGTTTAGGGTTTGGGTTTTAGGGTTGGGTTTTCGGGTTTGGGTTTCGGGTTTGGGTTTCGGTTTTGGGGGTTAGGGTTTTGGGGTTTAGGGTTTGGGGTTTAGGGTTTGGGGTTTAGGGTTTGGGGTTTAGGGTTTGGGGTTTAGGGTTTGGGGTTTAGGGTTTGGGGTTTAGGATTTAAACTCTTTGGGTTCCTGAAAGATTGGGGGAGTGGGGGGGTTTAGGGTTTCGGGTTTAGGGTTTAGGGTTTAGGGCTTAGGGTTAGGGTCTAAGGTTTAGGGGGTCTAGGGTTTAGGGTCTAGGGCTCTAGGGTTGAGGGGTATTGTGTCAGAAGTTGCCGTAATGGCTTTAGGGCTTTTGAGTTTTTTGGGGTCTAGGGTCAGGCTTCAGGACCAACGACCAGACAGCCCACATCCTCAAGCAAATGGTGCGGGTCCTGACATTACACGAAGACTCTCTGAATGTGATGCTGCAAGAACGAGAGCTGATGCTGTTCATCACCCACACTCCTGGGGGAGTCCTTCCTCAGATGATCCGAGCATCGGAGAACTGGCACAGCCGCTTCAGACCCTCATAGCAAAGCTTGAGAGTTTGAGCGGCGATGCGCTCAGGGAGTTCGTAAAAAACGAGCCCTGAAAGGGCGGGCCGTGATGCCGATGAATTTCACAGGATCTGTCAGGACGGAACGATGGCAGACCAACAAGCCGGAGAGGGTAGGATGCCGCCGCTAGCCAAAGCCGTTTAGGGTTTAGGGTTTAGGGTTTAGGGTTTAGGGTTTAGGGTTTAGGGTTTAGGGTTGACCAGAAGGAGGGCTTGCAAAGGGCTTAGGATTTTGTTTTACTCCTCTTTGTTTTGAAGGCCTGTAGGGGCCCAAGAGATTTCAGGGGTTTGGGGTTTAAGGTTTAGGGTTTGGGGTTTCAGGGATGTTTATTGCTTCGGGTTTTGTGCTTTACTGAAGGGGTATAAGGAGGGACCCCTTCTAGGTCCTTTTTATACACCTAAGTATCCCCTAACAAACCCCTAAATACCCTTAGAAGGGTTCCTCCTTTAGTTCCCTGAAAGGCCCGAGTCCAGCCCTAAATCCTAAACCCTAAAACCCGAAACCCTAAACCCTAAACCCGAAACAACCCTAAACCCCCAACCCCAAACCCCAAACCCAAAAGCCCAAATTAAGGGTTTAGGGTTTAGGGTTTGGGGTTTGGGGTTTAGGGTTCTGCAGAACTGTGCCGACGCGCAGCGCGAAGTGCTTCCAAAAGGTTTAGGGTTTAGGGTTTCGGGTTTAGGGTTAGGTTTTAGGGTTTAGGGTTTAGGGTTTAGGGTGTAGGGTGTAGGGTTTAGGGCATGGCTGACGTAAATGCCTTGAACCACTTAACGCCTGAACCTCAAGCCCTAAACCGCAAACCTCAAACCCGAAACCAAGTCCCCCCCAAAGGCCAAAACCCAAACCCTAAATGCTTAAGCCCCCAACCCTAAACCCTAAAGCCTAAACCCGAAACCCTAAAGCCTAAACCCTAAAACCCGAAGCCCCCCAACCCTAGAATACTCAAAAACCCCCTACCCCAGTCAGCGGCGGCGCAGGCGTGATGGGCCACACCATGCGCCTGAGCATCATCCGCGTGCCTCGGTCGAGGGGGAGACAGTTTCGGGGTTTTTGGGGTGTAGGGTTTAGGGTTTAAGGGTTTCAGGGTTGGGGGTTTTGGGTTTTACGGTTGGGGGTTTAGGGTGTTAGGGCTTTAGGGTTTTTCTCTAGGGTTGAGGGTTGGGGGGGGGTTTATGGTTTTAGGGGGTTAGGGTTTAGGGTTTTTCGGTTTTTGGGGGTTTGGGGTTTGGGGTTTGGAGGTTTAGGGTAGTAACGTTTGGCGCTTAAGGTGTACCTTATGCTTCCGGAACCTACTTCTTTGGGATTTCTAATTGGAGGCCCCCACAGGCTCGTGGAGAGCTCCCAGAACCCTAAACCCTGAACCCTAACCTTAAACCCTAAACCCTAAACGCACACCCTAAACCCCAAACCCCAAACCCCAACCCCCCCAAACCCTAAACCCTAAACCCCAAACCCTGAACCCTGAACCCCTAAACCCTCAAACCCTAAACCCGACACCCCAAGACCCCAGCGTGGAACGCCAACGATGCAAGCAGGTCCTCCAGTTCAGCCTGGGGGATCAGAGGACACATGGTGCCAGTTGTGGGTTTGGGGTTTAGGGTTTAGGGTTTAGGAACTAGGGTGTAGGGTGTCGGGTGTAGGGTTGAGGGAGTTGGGGGCTTCTAGCGTATGGGGAGGCGCAGGAGGGTTTGAGGGGTTGAGGGGGGTGGGGCCAGTGTTCATTTTCTGGGGTTTGGGGTCTAGGGGTTTAGGGTCTGGGGTTAAGGGTTTAGGGTTGAGGGTTGAGGGTTAAGCAAGTCGATGACGGCCCTTGGGGGCTTGTTGTGCCACTGAGGTATCCCAAGAAGCTTTGCATTCCATTTCCGACAGCCTGACCTTCAACTTCACCCTAAACCCTAAACCCTAAACCCTAAACCCTAAACCCTAAACCCTAAACCCTAAACCCTAAACCCTAAACCCTAAACCCTACACCTTACACCCTAAACCATAAACCCTAAACCCTAAATCCTAAACCCCAAACCCTAAACCCGAGACCCTAGACCCCAAAGCAACCCAAACAGGATCGCGGGGCGCCTGCACTTGGGCATCGAGTCGGAAGTGCAGCGGGAGGTGGGTTTAGGGTTTAGGCTTGGTTTTAGGGCTAAGGGTTTAGGGTTTAGGGTTAGGGTTTAGGGTTTAGGGTTTAGGGTTTAGGGTTTAGGGTTTAGGGTTTAGGGTTTAGGGTTTAGGGAAACCCTAAACCCTAAAGCCCAAATGCCAGACCAGCAAGCCCCGGCAGGGTGAGCGCACGACGACGCCGGCGCGTCCCGACATTCTGTGTGTGGAGGCAGGAGTGTACTTAGGGTTTAGGGTTTAGGGTTTAGGGTTCAGGGTTTAGGGTTTAGTGTTTAGGGTTAGGGTTTAGAGGGTTTAGGGGGTTTAGGGGCTGAGGAAGCTCGGGTTGCAGGATTTTCGGGGTTTAGGGGTGTAGTGTTTCGGGTTTTAGGATTTCAGGGGGCGGGCCCCCTCTCCCAAAGGAAAACAGCATCCCTTCAGAAGGTACTTACAATGACGCTGGTTGTTACCTCATTTGCATTTTTTAGGGCGAGAAAGCAGGTAGTCAGGATCATACCTCGGGCCCCTGAGGTTGTACCCTTGGGCTTGGGGGCACCTCCAAGGGAACCCTAAACCGTAAACCCTAAACCGTAAACCCCAAAGTGTAAACCCTAAACCTAAACCCTAAACCCTAAACCCTAAACCCCAAACCCTAAACCCTAAACCCGAAACCCTAAACCCCGAAACCTAAACACCCCCTAAACCCGGGGCCTCCTGCCGAGGTGGAGCTCGCCACAGGGGAGGACGCATTTCAGCCCCTGGCGGCGGCGCACCGTGCTTTGGTGGAACTCAGCCTCCCCTCCCCCCCTCCCCCCGTCCACTGTCTCAAGGATGCAGGGTTTAGGGTTTAGGGTTTGGGGTCTAGGGTTTAGGGTTTAGGGTTGAGGGTTTAGAGGTTCGTTAGGTAGGGTTTTTGGAGTTTAGGGCCTTGCGTTTGGGGCTTCTAGGTTGTGGTGCTGATGCAGGATTTGGGTTCGAGTGTGTTCGACTGTTCAGTTTCATGCTTAAGTTTAGGGCTTAGGGCTTAGGTTTTAGGCTTAGGGTTTAGGGCTTAGGGCTTAGGGTTTAGGGTTTAGGGTTTAGGGCTTGGGGCTTAGGTTTTAGGGTTTAGGGTATAGGGCTTAGGGTTTAGGGTTTAGGGCTTAGGGCTTAGGGCTTAGGGTTTAGGGCTTAGGATTCAGGGTTTAGGGTTCTTGCTCAGACTCTTTGGAGGGGCTTGTGGATTCGGGTCCTCTTCATGATGTCCTGGCCAGTTCTACCAAAGCCTCCACCCGAAACCACGCGCAACTCCAAAGCTCCGAGCTCCCTAGACTCCCTGGAAGGTTAAATTTAAACCCTAAACCCTAAACCCTAAACCCTAAACCCTAAACCCTAAACCCTAAACCCTAAACCCTAAACCCTAAACCCTAAACCCTAAACCCCGAACCCGGCAAGGGATGGTCCAGTTCGGGGCCCCGCACACGGAGGGGCGCTCCATGGGGCCCTGGACCTGCACGGACAAGCGCGAGGCGCGGGGTTTGGGTGTAGGGTTTAGGGTTTAGGGTTCAGGGTTTAGGGTTTAGGGTTTAGGGTTTAGGGTTAGGGTTTAGGGTTTAAGGTTTGGGGTTAGGGTTTCGGGTTTGGGGTTTAGGGTTTAGGGTTCAGGGTTTAGGGCTTAGGGCGGGACTTAAGATGCTTTTAGGGTGAAAGGGGGTTCAGGTCTTAGGCGGATATGGGGGTTTAGGGTTTAAGGGGGGTTTAGGGTTTAGGGTTTTATGGGGGGTTTGAGGAGCTTAGGGGTTATGGTTTTCGCGCTTTGAGGGGGTTTAGGGTGTTAGGGGTCGAGGGGGATTAAGGGGGGTGTGAGGGTGTTGTTAAGAAACGGGTTTAAGGGTTTCGTGTGGGTCTCGTTTCGGTTCGGGGGCCTGGGCCCCTAGGCCTAGGCTCAAGCCCCAAACCCTGCAGTTAAGGTGCGGGTTGGTATCGGATCCCATGAGACAAGGCTTCCAAGTCCCTTCCTTTGTCTTCAGGAACCCTAAGCCCTGGACCCCTGAACCCTAAATCCTAAACCCAACAACCCCCCCCCCCCCCCCAAAAAAAAAAAAAAAAAGAGAATAACAAAATAAAACCGAAAACACCAAAAACCAGGAAAAAACGCAAAATCAAAAAGAAGAAAGGCGCATGGTCTGGCCCAGGTGGAAAGGCGCTGCTGGAGATGCGCGCGAAGGCCCCCTTGATCAAAGGGCCATACTTGGGGAGGGGTCGTTATAGGGTTTAAGGTTTAGGGTTTCCCTAAACCCAAATCCCGACCCTAACCCCTAAGCCCTAAACCCTAAACCCTAAGCCCTAGCCCTAATGTTGCTGAAAATAGGGGTACGGGGTAGGTTTGTGAAGAAGTGATTCAAGCTATATAAGGTCGCATGAACTTGTTCTGCCCACCTGCCGCCCGCCCTGACCTCCACAAGGTGGGATGCAGGGTAGGGGGACAACGCACCGGGGCAACCGGCTCTTAAGGGCTACAGCTTGGCTTCAGCACCCCCCTCGGCCTGCCATCCGCCAGGAGGCTGGGCGCTCTTCACAAGCTGTCCATCCCTTCCGGGAGGCGAGCAACTGTACCAACACATGCTGTAGCATGGGATTGCTCTGGAACTGCTCCCCCCTGTCCCCGGCAGTGGGCCGGCTACGCAAACTCTGTCCAAGATCCGCCGTCCACCCGGGCGTTAACCCAAGCATCTGGCATCACTCAAACGAGAGCGCGCCCGTACACTACACTGCGCCAAGGAACGCTTACACGCCTGAAGACGATTTCTGCCTTTCGGCTACCTCACCTTCCTCCGCCAGGGCAGCCTTCCCTTACAACCAATGTCCCGTGTCGCCTGGAAAACGGTGCCGTCGCCATCGCAGCCCCCCTCCATCCTCCAGGCCCATCGCAGCAACATTGCAATTGCGGTGGCATGCTGGTCTGACGAAGTGCATGTTCTGGCATGGTATAGCGGAAGCGCATCTTTGCAGCGCATAGCTTTTTCACACGCGTGTTCGTGCTTAGGCCATTGGGCGTCATAACCTGAAGAAGGTGATTCAAGCATATATAAGGTCGCATGAACTTGTTCTGCCCACCTGCCGCCCGCCCTGACATCCACAAGGTGGGATGCAGGGTAGGGGGACAACGCGCCGGGGCAACCGGCTCTTAAGGGCTACAGCTTGGCTTCAGCATTTAGGGTTCCTATAGCAAGGATTCCAGTATTTGTGGGGTATCTGAGGGGTACCCTTATGTTGGGATGATACGAAGCTACAAATTTCCCCCATTAAGTTGGGTCTTTTGGGTTTTTAGGGTCTAAGGTTTTGGGTTTAGGGTGCAGATTCCCCTTACATCGCTAGCTCACATGAACACGCAATGATCGGATGGAATTCTTGCACAAAAAAGACGCGTGTGAAAGAGCATCGGGGCTGTTGGGACGGTCACTTGGTACGCTCTTTATATAACCCTTAACTTTCCCTGGCGGTTTAGACGACCGGCACGAAGACCCTTGAACTTGTATTGCTATTAAAGGAACACCGCACCAAACATTCTAATTGCCACTACCCTAAACCCTAAACCCTAAACCCTAAACCCTAAACCCTAAACCCTAAACCCTAAACCCTAAACCCTAAACCCTAAACCCTTTGAAAAGAGCTTGAGCAGCAGAAAGAAGTGCAAAAAGTGCTGAAGTCGGTGATGGACGAAGTCGCAATGTGGAAGAACAACGTTTCGAAGGCCCTGGCTCTTCAAGACGAACTGGTGCGCCACCGCTGCACCCGCTGCTCGCGCGGCCGCGCCACGTGTCCTCTTCCAGGCCCCCGCTGTGCCCGCTGCGCCCGCGCGCACGGCCGCGCCACGTGTCCTCTTCCAGGCCCCCGCTGACACCCTGCTGGGTGCAGGTTGATTACGTGGATGCCAGCGCTACTGCCTCTTGGCCCTGCCCTCCCCTGCCACGCAATGACGTTTAACGGAGCCTGGGGCGCTCTGCCAGCTTGAACTCCAAGTGGAGGGGGCGATGACGTTTTCGGAGCCCCCTGCGAAGCTAGGAGGGATGGCGCCTTAGGCTAGGCCCTGCCGCCACAGGTGCCGCTTACTCACTCACTCACTAAACCCTAAACCCTAAACCCTAAACCCTAAACCCTAAACCCTAAACCCTAAACCCTAAACCCTAAACCCTAAACCCTAAACCCTAAACCCTAAACCCTAAACCCTAAACCCTAAACCCTAAACCCAACACCCTAAACCCTAAACCCTAAACCCTAAACCCTAAACCCTAAACCCTAAACCCTAAACCCTAAACCCTAAACCCTAAACCCTAAACCCTAAACCCTAAACCCTAAACCCTAAACCCTAAACCCTAAACCCTAAACCTAAACCCTACACCCTAAACCCTAAGCCCTAAGCCCTAAACCCTAAACCCTAAACCCTAAACCCTAAACCCTAAACCCTAAGCCCTAAGCCCTAAACCCTAACCCTAAACCCTAAACCCCAAGCCCTCAACCCTAAACCCTAAACCCTAAACCCTAAACCCTAAACCCTAAACCCTAAACCCTAAACCCTAAACCCTAAACCCTAAACCCTAAACCCCAAGCCCTCATGCAGTCGGGTGCAGGCCTTTGGGGTGCTGGGGCTCTCCCTTGAGCTGAAGCAGGCGACCTTCAAGAATTTAGGGTTTAGGGTTTAGGGTTTGGGGTTTAGGGTTTAGGGTTAAGGGTTTAGGGTTAAGGGTTTAGGGTGTAAGGAGTGTGGGAGTTTCGGGGTTTAGAGTTTCGGGCTTTGGGTTTAGGGTTTCAGGAGTTTGGGAGTTTCGGGGTCTAGGAGTTTAGGAGGTTAGGGCGGGTTGCGGGTGTCGGCGTTTTTTTGCGGTCTAGGGCTTAATGCTTAGCGTCTTTTGGGGTTTGGAGGGTTTAGGGCTTTTCGGGCTTGTAGAGGTTGAGGGCCAAGTCAGGGTGCAGTGTTTTGGGGGCAGAAAACAATCACAAGACAGAACATGGCTGCTGAGGAGGTGGGGCACAGGTGGAGGAAAGAAAGGGCCATGAAGCGGTTTAGGGCCGGGCCAGGGTTTAGGGTTTAGGGTTTAGGGTTTAGGGTTTAGGGTTTAGGGTTTAGGGTTTAGGGTTTAGGGTTTAGGGCTTAGGGTTTAGGGCTTAGGGCTTAGGGCTTAGGGCTTAGGGCTTAGGGCTTAGGGCTTAGGGCAAGGGTGTAGGGTTTAGGGTTTAGGATCTAGGTCCTCACTTTGCAAAAAAACCCCCTATGTGCACATCGTCAGAGGAGGAGCATCTGAGGAAACATGCCGGTTTCGGGGTACAGGGTTTTTGAGTTCATGCTCTAGGGTTTGCAGCTTTAGGTTATTTTGGGGTCGTTTGGGACTTGTGCTTTAGGAGTCGCGGGGTTCGAGGTTTGGGGATTTAGGGGCTTTACGGATTCAGGGCTTAATTCAGGTTGAGGGTGAAGAGCAACAAAGGAAGCAGAGCTTACAGTAAGCCCCTTTCATGTTAAACCCTGAAACCCTTAGCCCTGCGGCCTTCAACCCTAAACCCTAAACCCCAAACCCTACTAAACTCTAAACCCTAAGCCCTAAACCCTAAACCCTAAAACCCAGACCCTAAGCCCTAAACCCTAAACCCGAACCTTAAAGTCTTCAACCCTTCAACCCTCAACCTTGATAGACCCTCAGCCCCTAAGCTCCCTAAACCTTCCCTTAATTATCAACTTCCCAGGACCCTTCAGCCCTCAGCCCCCAACATCCCTAAACCCTCCCTTAATTATCAACTTCCCAGGACCCGTCAGCCCTCAAGCCCGCAAGTCCCCTCAAGCCCCCAAGTCCCCAAAAGCCCCGCAAGCCTTCGAACCCTTCAAGTGCCCCTTCAACCCTGCCGAAACCCTGCCTACACCCCTAAGCCCCCTAGAGCCCTCCACTACAAAACCTTGACCTCCAGGGCCCAAACCCTAGCCCTGAACCCTGAACCCTGAACCCTGAACCCTGAACCCTGAACCCTGAACCCTGAACCCTGAACCCTGAACCCTGAACCCTGAACCCTGAACCCTAAACCCTAAACCCTAAACCCTAAACCCTAAACCCTAAACCCTAAAACCTAAACCCTAAATTTAAGAGCCTCCGGCTCAAGCCGCCGACCCCGCTGGAGCATAGTTGAAAGGTTTAAACGCGCTCGTCAGCTCAAAGGATGCCAAAAGTTGATTTGCTTGAGCCTCTGTGAGGGGGGGGGGTAGGGAGTAGCACCAGGACGCAAACAGGAGCTAGCCAGCTTGAAAAAAAACAAAGCCCCATCTGAGAGAGGGGGTAGAGGGGGGGGGGGTGGGGGGGGGGGGGGGGGTAGGGGGGGGGGTGGGGGGGAAGGGGGGGGGGGGGGGAGGTTGGGGGGGGGGAGGGCGGGGGTAGGGGGGGGGGGGGGGGGGGAGGGGGGGACGGGGGGTAGGGGGGGCTGGGTGCGTTTTTTCTCAAAGGACTATGTCCTGTGCGAAACCGCCTATGGTCCGTGAGTTTATGCGGTGTGGGTGGCGCCTACGGTCCGTGAGTTTATGCGGTGTGGGTGGCGTGGCCCTCCATGGAAAAGCTGCCCGGGTACCCCCTACCCCCCCCCCCCCCCCCCCCGTTTTGGGGGTAAGGAGGGAAAGAGGGAGGTTTTCACCTCCTTTTCCCATCCAACCGCCAGGGTCGGCGGACCCTAAACCCTAAACCCTAAACCCTAAACCCTAAACCCTAAACCCTAAAACCTAAACCCTAAACCCTAAACCCTAAACCCTAAACCCTAAACCCTAAACCCTAAACCACCCTAAACCCTAAACCCTAAACCCTAAACCCCGAATCCCCCCAAAAAGTCCACCACCGGCCACCGAGTTCATGCGGCTCATGGCCGGCCTTCTGGGGGCCGCGCTGCTCGTGGAGCCAGCGGCCGGGCGCAAGGTTTAGGGTTTAGGGTTTAGGGTTTAGGGTTTAGGGTTTAGGGTTTAGGGTTTAGGGTTTAGGGTTTAGGGTTTAGGGTTTAGGGTTTAGGGTTTAGGGTTTAGGGTTTAGGGGGTTTAGGGTTTAGGGTGTTTAGGGCTTAGGGTTTGGGGTTTGGGGTTTGTAAGACCCTAAGCCCTAAGCCTAAAACGCTTCAGGTTTAGGGTTTAGGGTTTAGGGTTTAGGGTTTAGGGTTTAGGGTTTAGGGTAGGATTTTTTCGGTAGCTTCAGCAAGGGGCTAGTCCATCAAGCTCCGAAAGCCCTAAACCTGTAAAGCCAAAACTTGCTGCTTCTTAGCAGGGAAGTTGGGGATCAGGTGCCCCACGTAATCGCTTCAAAGGTTATGTCGGGGGAGCCCTAAACCCTAAACCCTACAACCTGCACCCAGCACCCTAAACCCTGAACCCTAAACCCTAAACCCTAAACCCTAACCCTAAACCCTACAACCTGCACCCTAAACCCTAAACCCTAAACCCTAAACCCTAAACCCTAAACCCTAAACCCTAAACCCTAAACCCTAAACCCTAAACCCTAAACCCTAAACCCTAAACCCAATTCCCTACTTCCCTCATTCCCTAAGCCCAAGATTCCTCAGCCGCATCGGGGCCGGGGATGGGAAGTTGTGAATAGCAGACGGGCTAAGACGAGCTCACCGAGCACGGGCCATACTTAGGGGTTTAGGGTTTAGGGTTTAGGATTTAGGGCCATTCTTGGGGTTTTGTACCCCAACACAGGAGGCCCATTCAAGGGACGCCCGATTTTGGGAGACCCCCCCCCCCCATCTGTACATTTTGATTGCGCGCTTTAGCACTGACCCTGAAACCCTGAACCCTCAGCCCTCAACCCGAAACCCTAAACCCTCAACCCTAAACCCCGGAAAAATTGTCCAGTGGTATCTTTGTTCCCTTACTCGGGGGTGTTAAGTTCTCACGAAATTCAAGGGCACTGCTTCGTCAAACTAACCGCTATACCATAAGCCCTAAACTACCCTAAACCCTTCGTAGGCTTAGGTGTTAGGGGTCAGGGTTTCGGGTGTCATTCGGGTTTCTTAGTGACCCTCGCGGCTAAGGCTTGTGCCCAGAAGCAAGGCGTTTAAGGACCCAAAAGTAGACCCTGAGGGTATTAGGGTTTAGGGTTTGGGGTTTAGGGTTTAGGGTTTAGGGTTTAGGGTTTAGGGTTTAAGGAGACCCTGAATCGAGCCTTAAGAATTTTCAGCAACTGAGGTGTCGCATCGCCGGTTGTGGCAGGGGCTGAAGACGGTGGCTGGGCCCAGCCAATCTGCACGCCTGAGGAGCGCGGTTTAGGGTTTAGCGTTTAGGGTTTAGGGTTTACGGTTTAGGGTTTAGGGTTTAGATTTAGGGTTTAGGGTTTGGGGTGCTTAATGTGGCATCTGTTTTTCCGGCCCTATAGGCGTGCAATGGGAAGCGATAGATATGAGCCCTAAACCCAAAACCCTAAACCCTAAACCCTAAACCCTAAGCCCTAAAGCCTAAACCCTAAACCCTGAACCCTAAACCCCAAACCCTAAACCCTCAACAGGCCATGCAGCGCGTTGCCAAGTTCGAAACTCCCAAATCTGGCTTGTTTAGGGTTTAGGGTTTACTGTTAATTACCGTCTAGGGGTTTAAGGTTGAGAGATTCATTAGGGACCAATGCTATGCCATCTTGCGTGTATTTGCCGAGGACCTTTTGGCGCCTAAACCCTGAACCCTAAACCCTAGACCCCAAACCCCAAACCCCAAACCCTAGACCCTAAACCCTAAACCCCAAACCCCAAACCCCAAACCCTAAACCCTAAGCCCTAAGCCCTAAACCTTAAACCCTAAACCCTAAACCCTAAACCCCAAACCCTAAACCCCAAACCCTAAACCCTAAACCCTAAACCCTAAACCCTAAACCCTAAATCTCCCTAACGCCTTAAGAGGATCGGCCTGGGCGGTCTTGGTCTGAGCACGCTGGCCGAGCAGGCGCGGAAGCAGTCCGCAAGCCGTTTTGCGGTTCAGGGGTGCCTGGGTTTGTGAGGGTTTAGGGGTTTAGGGTTTAGGGTTTAGGGTCAGGCTTTTCAGGGTTTTCAGGGTTTTCAGGGGCTTCAGGGGCTTCAGGGTTTTCAGGGTTTTCAGGGTTTTCAGGGTTTTCAGGGTTTTCAGGGGCTTCAGGGGCTTCAGGGTTTTCAGGGTTTTCAGGGTTTTCAGGGTTTTCAGGGTTTTCAGGGTTTTCAGGGTTGTCAGGGTTGTCAGGGTTGTTAGGGTTCAGGTTTTCGGGTTCAGGGTTTAGGATACTCCGCTCGGATTTAGGGGTTGTTTCGGTTGGGGCTTGGGGATGTGGTTGAGTGTTGAGGGGCTTTAGAGGGGACCTAGAGCCTGAAACCCTGAGCTTTCAACCCTAAACTGGAACGTGTATGTTGGGCTCAAGGACTTCACTGAGCAAGCCGGGCAGAGGTAGTGTGGCCAGTTTTGGATCAGCATGGGAAAGGGATGGTTGCTGCCCCTTTGCTGCCTCGCCGCGACGCTGTACAGCAGCTGCCTCTTCCTGACGCCCGCGCCGCAGGGGCGCAGCCGCTCTTCGGGTTTAGGGTTTAGGGTTTAGGGCTTAGGGCTTAGGGGTTTAGGGCTTAGGGTTTAGGGTTTAGGGGTCTCGAGTCTTGAGGTTGGCGTCCCTGGATTCGACTGGGTTGATGGGATTGAGAATCCTGAGCCCTGAGCCCTGAACCCTGAACCCTAAACACAAAACCCTAAGCCCAAAAATCCTGAATCATAAACCGCCGTTCAGGGTCCAGAGGTTAGTAGGGGGTGTACCGCTATATGGGGTTTTCGATTTTCTTTTGTTGGGTCCTTATTCTGAGGGGATCCTACTTGTTGGGGGTCTACATTAGGGGTCCCCTATTCTCGTGAACCCTCATATTCGCAGGGTATAGATTGGGCCGGGCGCAAGTAGAGGCGGTAGAAAGGCGGTTGGTGGGTTCAGTTTCGGCTGTGGTCTTTGGCGGTAGAAAGGCGGTTTAGGTTTTGAGGCTTTGGTACTCCCGGCAGCCCGGGCGGAACATCGTGGGAAGTCCACTAAGCCGCCAAACTTACACGCCTAAACCCCTCAGCCCCTTACCCCTAAACCCCTGAACCCTAAACCCCAAACATCCCTAAGCCGGAGACCCTCAACCCTAAACCCTAAAACCCTTAAGCCCTAAGCCCTAGGCCCTAATCCCTCAGCACTAAGCCCTAACCCTAACACCCCTAAGCCCTAAACCCGAACCCTAAGCCCTAAGCCCTATAAGCCCTGAGCCCTAAGCCCCAAGCCCTAAGCCCTCAGCCCTAAGCCCTGGCCCTAAGCCCTAACCCTAAACCCCGAACCCTTCATGGCCCCAGGTTCCCGAGCTCGGAGCCCCGTGGTGCGGTGTGGCGTCACGAAGGAGGTGCTCCAAGAGGGCGACGGCAAGAATTACCCAAAGCACCTTGGAGGGTTTAGAATTAAGGGTTTAGGGTTTAGGGTTTAGGGTTTAGGGTTACCCGAAGCACCTTGGAGGCTCATAGGGTTTTAGGGTGATCTTTTGTGATTTTTGGGGTGTATGATTTGGGGTTGAAGGTTTAGGGTTGGGATGTTCCCGCTTATACTAACAGTCCTTAATGTTCGGGTTAAACCCCTCCAGATTTTGTTTTGGTTTCCGAGGTTTTGAGGGTAAAAAAGAGCGGGTGATAATTAAGCGTGTCTGGGGGTCTGGGGTCTCGGGGGTCTGGGGGGCGTCAGCTGTCAAGAAGGGTCTGCCTTGGCTTGTTTTCAAGGGTTCTGCTTGCTCTCTGCAGCTCTTTTTGCTCTGCGACCGCGACTTTGTCTGTTGTTCTGTTTGTTGTTCTCTGCTCTGCTGCAATGGACCACCGTTCTCTGGCCTCTTGGCTCTGTTCATGTTTTGTGGTTCTGGCTGTGAGTCCGGGCAAAGGAGGGGGGGGGGGGCGGGACGGGCAATAATGCAGCCTGAAGAGCCTTGCTTTGAGACCTCTGGCTTTTCCCAGAAGTCCAGGACCCGAACGCTGAAATCTTAAGCTTAAGGGATTCTTGTCTTAGGCCTTAGAGGCAGCCTTTTGGGATTATCCTTGCAACCCCGTAATACAAATTGCCATCTTGGAGGCCAGGGGTAACCTTTCCGGATCTGTTTTCGAGCCCGGGGATGAGGATGTAAGCAAGGAAACCTTGCTTTCAGGCCTCTGGCGGTGCCCAGACTTACAGAACCCGAAGTCTTAGTGTAGAACACAGAAAGACTAGTCTATGCCACGCCTGTTGTTCTTTGTTTCCCATTGCCCAGATGATTCACAGGTGACCCGCCCCCGGGATTTTGCCTCGCTATGTGCAGGTCTTGGTGTTTGGTAGACTTAGAAAGTGTTTGTTCATATGCGGGTTGGTTGTTGGTATGGAGGCAAAGTCCTGGGTTTGCGGGTGGTGGTTCCACATAACAGCCCACCTTAATTAGCCTTTTGCAGAATTCGCTCGGTTCTCCTGCAAAAAAAGGAAGAATGTGTTGCGCGTTCTTTTCTTGTGTGCTTGCTCAAAAGTGTTTTACATTCGTATTCTCATAGGGTGCTGAAGCAGGTGGGCTACAGCATTACTGCGAGTGCGGGGGTTATGGGGTCCAGCTGGGTGCACACATATAAATCACGAATGGATGTTAAAGGGACATCAGGTGCAGCAAGGTCGTCATTGCCTTGTACGGCGACGCGGCTTCTTCTCAAAAGAAGCCATCCGCATTACTGCGACAAAGCGCAGACGTCATCAGAGAAGCAATGATGCCTCCTTTATCTTACAAAATGAATGCCATCGATCGACATATCCGCTTAATCTTCGACGAGTCTGGACCCATTTTCGTGAATTTAACTGCCATCGGACATGCAATTCATGTTCGGCGTGCTTGAAATGCTTACTACACCCACGCCTTCGCAAACTTGCTGCTCCGGGAAATGATCATCAGCCACGCTCAGGCTTCTTGGCGCGCGTCCGATTGCTTTAGATCCTTTTAATATCTGGCTGATGTTTGCTTTCGGCTGCTGAGGTTCGAACCATATGGCCACGATGCCACATGGCTGCTCAGAAATGTGGGAGTCGGCTGTCCACCTTGCTGCCGTCCCACGTGGCCCACTGGGTGCCTATGCTTGAAGATATCACAACTCATAATATAAGAACGAGAACAGTCCGACCGAGGCTCTGAAATAGCCTACTCCCCCCCCCCCCCCCGGGGGCCATAACTCATAATATCAGAACGAGAACAGTCCGACCGAGGCTCTGAAATAGCCTCCTCCCCCCCCCCCCCCCCCCGGGGGCCATATATATATATATATACGGGCACATTGGGCTACTACTGCCGAACGTTTTGCATAGTCTCAAACGAGATCTGCTTTTGTAAAGACCCAAGCGGAAGCTTCTGCGAGGAAGCCAGGCGGGCGTCCGTCGACTGGCACCGGTGCTCAAATCATTCGAGGACGACATTCTGGAATCGGTGCATCAGTCTTGTTCGCCCTGGAGAAGCGACGCAGTGGCAGAGCGAGGCCGTGTGCAAAATACGACATTGCTTCGGTGATTTCCCAGAATGTCAAACCTAGTAGTACTTAGCAGTGACTGACTTTGGCACTATTTCAGACGTCCTCGACATTTGCCTGTAGGCCGCGAGTACATTGCCCACGCTGCGAATGTCAGTTCGTACAATGTGCGTGGAAAGATGTGCGGGCTGCTGGAGCGCGTCTTGCACGTTGCACTCGAAGAAGGTGGCCGGGTTGTTGCGATTGTGTGATCTGGAATATGCAAGCAGTGTGCGGGAAGTGCATGTGCAAAGAATAGCTACCCATAGTGTTAAAAAAAAATGGAATCGGAAGTTGATAAAGTGGGAAGGGAGCAGGATACTGCGAGGTAGAGGAAAATAGAGCATTGTGGGGTGCAATAGATGTCCGATGCAGGGGTCTGCGGTTGTAAACCAGCTGAGTGAGGCGAGACGATGGACAGGGATGAGGTCGGAGAGCACGTGCTGGGGGCCCTGCATTTCGCCTTCGTGGGACACCATGCGCCGCTACTGCACTGAGCGTAGTGACTGCCGTGAACCGGGGTGAGCTGTGACGCCGAGTGTCTAAGAGACAGTCGTGAACGGATCGCTGACGGTTCAGGCGATGGACGTCCCCAGCAAGTGGACCATGGACGAATTCCTGGAGTTGGCTTCTACCGTCCTCGCTCAACACGGCTTCTCTAGGAGCTGCTGCTCTAGTGTAAAAGAAATAAACCGTTCGTATAGTTCGTATGTCCGCAATATGAACATGCAGGAAGAAGCCAAGGATCTCAGAGAGCCTGCGGCACTACTTCAAGATGGCCCTTGGGACTGCGTCGCGTGCCCGTGTGCTGGAAGCTGTCGTACCTCAACATAAATAGTTTGTCTAGAATCTACTGGGGAGTGATCGTGATCGGTGGCGATTGGTGCCTCTACACACGTCAAAACCAGGATGTGCGTTTGTTGGCCCACAACGATATCCTTGGACGGCTTTGGCTCCCACCGGGACGCCATGTGCTCGGCTCGGATGCTGCGGCACTTTTGTTGCCGCACATCCACTCCTCGGAGCAGCCGCATCACCGGAGGCTGGCTTTTGACGTGAACATGTCTGGGAACTGTTGCGTCCATGTGTTGCTGCAGCTCTGCGTGCGCAGGAAGATGTTGGTGGCGTTCGATGCTGCGTGCTATATCAAGCACGTGGTGAAGTCCCACCTCAAAAAAAACCGGCCGAGCACCTGGCCGAGACTGTCCCGGCGGACGTTCAAGCGGGCTCTGACGAAGCAGCGCAGAAGACCCATGAGGACGCTGCGTTGTCTGCCTCCCTCTTTGATTTGTGCAGAATGCTGTCGTGTTACTAAGTGTTCTGGAGGAGCCTTCAGTGCCTGCTCTTCTCCCCGCTGCCCTGAGTGCCTCGCGGTGGATGGCAAAAAGCATAACTCTTGGTAGCAGCTGCGGCAACAGCAATAAAAGTAGCCCCACAAGCAGCGCTAACGGTGGTGGTAGCAGCAGTAGCGATTATAAGAACATAAGTAGTATTGCCAGAAGGATTAGCAATCATTTGAAACCCAATAAAATATGTCTATTTTCTGGAAATTTGTGTATATACTGGACTGGGTTTCTCAGAATAGGAAATTCAATTTGGAAGACGATTGGTTCACATATTTCTATAATGGATTCTACGAACAAACCACAGAAATTCTTGCATATCCATAGTCAGTTGAAACTCAACAAGCTTTATGAACTTTTGAAAACCTTAGGCACCCCCCAAAGGCCGTCTCAGCCCCTCAGAGCGCCCCAGAACCTCCCAGACCCAGCCCCCATTCTCCGAGCCGCTCAGACTCCTCCTTTCTGGAGCCTTTCCGATTAATTTACTTAAACTGGACTTGTCAGCTGTTTATACAAATGCTTCGAAAATTCTGGGGCTGGGGCTGGGGCTAGGGCCGGGACTGAAACTGGGGCTGGGGCTGAAGTTTACGTAAATTGTGCATTTGGCCACCTAGATATTTTTTATTACATAAATTCGGCTTGTCAGCCTTGAGACCTCCTGAAGGCTGGGGCCTGGAGCCTGGGTCTGGGGCTGTACTTAAACTCGGCTTGTCAGCTGTTTAGACAAATAACTTGGGAAATTCGAATGAAACCACATACAATTTCTATTTATTTTGTCTTGAGGGTTTAGGGTTTAGAGTTTAGGGTTTAGGGTTTTAGGGTTTTAGGGTTTTAGGGTTTTAGGGTTCTAGGGTTTTAGGGTTTAGGGTTTAAGGGTTTAGGGTTTTAGGGTTTAGGGTTTAGGGTTTAGGGTTTTAGGGTTTTAGGGTTTAGGGTTTTAGGGTTTAGGGTTTAGGGTTTAGGGTTTAGGGTTCAGGGTTTAGGGTTTCGCTTAGTTGGCTGCGTGTGTGTTGGTTGGTGTAGAGACAACACACACGCAGCACGTGCGTGTCAGGCCCACCCCAGACCACCCAACTCATAAGCTTTAGGTGGGAAGGATGGATGGTGGGTGGAAAAAAATTAAAATTTTAACTCTACACCCTGACTCTCAGTACTGAGATGTCGACCCTAAACCCTGGCCTCAAACTTTGACCCCGAACTCCGACCCCAAAATCCGACTCCAACGCCTAAACTCTAAAGTTTGAGGCCCTGACCCCCGCCATTTGACCCTAAAGTCTGAAACTTGACCCCGAAAGTCTGACTCCAAAGTCTATAACTTTGACCCCAAAAGTCTGACTCCAAAGTCTGAAACTCTGACAGGAAACGAGAACCGTAGCAGCTACCCCGCTGACCTGTTTCGAGGCCGGGCTTTTTTTGAGCATGTTTTTGTTTTGTATTTCCGGGGCTTGCGTGAGCAGTTTCCTTTTTTCCCTGTGAAGCACTGCGCCACGAAGCTCTAGAGTAGGGAACGCTGCGGCTGTTGACGGCTCGAGTTTTCCTTTTTCGTGCGCCGGGTCATGTCCTCAGACAAGGAGCGGGGAGACTGGGCCAATCGGCCGGCGCCTGCAGCCATTCCTTTTGGAGCGGCCGAGCGGCCCAGCTCCAGCTCCAGCCGCGGTGCGGCAGCAGAGGGTCGTGCGAGAAAAGAGCCCGGCCGGAACCGCAAAGAGAAAGGCCGGGCCGCAGTGGTGTCACGCGACGCTGCTGCGTGACCGCAAGAAAAAAGAACAGGCCCGCCGTGAAGCAGAGAGGAACACGAAGGAGGAGCAGCCAAGGAGCTCCTTGCCATAAAAGCGCCGCGCCGCAAGCAGTCCGAGGCCGAGAAGAAGGCTCGCAAGGAGGCCCAGCAGCTGGTGCGCGCGTGCGAGAAGAGTGGCAAGCGTAAGCGTGCAGGGCCCCGGACGGGCGACGAGCACACTACGACCGGCTGGGCCGTCATGGCTACCGCGACAAAAGATCGTGGGCCACTTTTAACGACCGCGGCCTGCAGCAGACTCTGGCCGACGCCGAAGACGTCGAGCCGCTGGACACCTCCTCGAGCTAAAAGCGCTGCCTGCGTGCGTGTGTGCAACTGCAGAGTCTCACGTGCTCATTTCTCGAAACACACATCTGCTCTGCGCAGGCCTGTCGTCGTGTTCGTCGGGGCGGGGCGCGCCGCCCTAAATACGCGCTCTTTTTCCCCGTCGCGGGTGGCCGCCTTGCCGTGGCGACGAGGCTCAGTGCCCAGCTAGTCTGGGGAAGCTAGGAGCCACCCAAAAAAGATCACGCAACGGAAAGCTTTTATTGTGCTGATTATATTTTTCTTGTGCCTCACGCGATTATTTTCATACGCATCGCGTGCACGAGTGCGTTCCACTCAAAAAAGAGCACGTGAAATTAACTCGCAGGGCGATGTTTTTGTTGTGACAGCAAGTCCATCTCATCGGAGCTCGCCGCGACCTATCTTAGTGCGTTTCTCGCAAATAGTCAACTCCATTGCCTCTGCACCCACGAAAACGAGGGGAAATTCGAGGGGTCTTTTTTTTTGACGCGATTTTTTCGCAAGATCTTCGGATGCGCCTGCTCGATCGCTCGCGGCGACCTATTTTGGTGCGTTTCTCGCAAATGGTCAACTCCATTGCCCCTGCAGGGGAAATTCGAGGGGTCTTAATTTTTTTTGACGCGATTTTTTCGCAAGATCTTCGGATGTGTCTGCTCGATCGCTCGCGTCGACCTATTTTGGTGCGTTTCTCGCAAATGGTGAGCTCCATTGCCCCTGCGCCCACGAAAACGAGGGGAAATTCGAGGGGTCTTATTTTTTTTGACGCGATTTTTTCGCAAGATCTTTGGATGCGTCTGCTCGATCGCTCGCGGCAAGCTATTTTTATGCGTTTCTCGCAAATGGTCAGCTCCATTGCGCCTGCGCCCACGAAAACGTAGGGGAAATTCGAGGGGTCTTAATTTTTTTTGACGCGATTTTTTCCAAAGATCTTCGGATGCGTTTTCTCGATCGCTCGCGGCGACCTATTTTTATGCGTTTCTCGCAAATGGTCAGCTCCATTGCCCCTGCGCCCACGAAAATGAGGGGAATAATTTTTTTTGACGCGATTTTTCGCAAGATCTTCGGATGCGTCTGCTCGAGCTCTTTCAAGCCAGCTCGGACTTCTCTGCAATGGAACTCTGAAGCAATCTGCAGTAAACTTTTTAGACTTCTGGCCAGCCAAATTTTGGACATGTCACCCCATGAGTATTTTCATCGGACCCCCTAAATGGCTTTGTTTACACACATCAGCCCGAAAACCTCCCGTACTGGAATGTAGTCTTGGACCGGGACCCTCTGGCCCGCCGAATTTATACTTCCCATCCCATTTATAAATGTAACGGTTACATTGATAGGGGTTGTACTCCCTCCTATTATACTCCCTACAAAGGACTGTTAGTATAAGGGGAACATCCCAAGTTCAGGGTTTAGTGCAGACTCAACTTCAGGGGGACAATCAGAGCAACTTGAGTGTTTAGGGTTTAGGCTTTGGCTTTGGAGGGGCTTTGCGGGGTGGTGCTGGTTGAAGGGGTGCTGTATGGGGCAAGTGGGGCTTTGATGGGACCTTGGGTGCCCCCTGTTTCAGGAAAGGTGATACCGTGACCATGCACTATACGGGAACCCTGAGCAGCGGCAAGAAGTTCGACTCCAGCCGAGATCGAGGCGACCACTTGCCTTTTGAATTCCAAGCCCTAAACCCAAACCCTAACCGCTGAAGTTTGAGGCAGGCTTTCGCGCCCGGATCCTAGACCTTGAACTTACAACGTTAGAAAACCCGGTTAAGGGTTGAGAGTTCACCCTAAACCCTAAACCCTAAGCCCTAAGCCCTAAGCCCTAAGCCCTAAGCCTTAAGCCCTAAGCCCTCAGCCCTCAGCCCTCAGCCCTCAGCCCTCAGCCTTAAGCCCGAATCCCTAAGCCCTAAGCCCTAAGCCTACACCCTAGAATTCAGGTGTCCTCGACAAACCCTCAGCACCCCACTGCATCTTTGGGTTTCGCGGGTCAAGGGGCAAAGACCTAAACCCTAAACCCTAAGCCCTAAGCCCTAAACCCTAAACCCTAAACCCTAAACCCTAAACCTTAAACCCTAAACCCTAAACCCTAAACCCTAAACCCTTATAAACCCTAAATCCTAAACCCTAAACCCTAAACCCAAACCCTAAACCCTAAACCCTAAACCCGAAACCCTTAACCCTAAACCCTAATCCCTAAACCCTCAACCCTAAAACCTAACCCTTAGACCCTCAGCCCTAAGCCCTAAACCCCTAAACCCCGGTCCATGCAAACTCTGCAGGACAGCCATTCCGGACTCAAATCGGCGTTGGCCAGGCCACCGTGCTTAGGTCTAAGGTTGAGGGTTGAGGGTTTAGGGTTTAGGGTTAGGGTTTAGGGTTTAGGGTTTAGGGTTTAGGGTTTAGGGTTTAGGGTTTAGGGTTTAGGGTTTAGGGTTAGTTTAGGGTTTAGGGTTTAGGGTTTAGGGTTTAGGGTTTAGGGTTTAGGGTTTAGGGTTTAGGGTTTAGGGTTTAGGGTTTAGGGTTTAGGGTTCAGGGTTTAGGGTTTAGGGTTTAGGGTTTAGGGTTTAGGGTTTAGGGTTAGGGTTTAGGGTTTAGGGTTTAGGGTTAGGGTAGTTATATGGGCCCTGAAGACGGCCCCTTGCCTCCTTTAAAGGGTTTGGCCCTGGGGTTGTAGAGGCTATAGAAGGGGTATATATCAGGTTTTCGTTAAAACACGCCCATACTAAGAGACCATGCAACTACACTGAGATAGGGTTTCAGGGCTTAGGGTTTAGGGATGGTTTTGAGTTAATTACCTGCAGCAGAGAAAAACTTGGTGCATGTAGCTTAACTTCACCCTGAGGCATCAACACGCCCCTGATTTCAGGCACAGATAATCAATTCATAGCTCGGACCCTTCTACAGGCTTACGCTATTTTTTCTTTAAGCATAACTAAAGTCCCTAGGCCCGAAACCCTACGCCCTACGCCCGAAGACCTGAGCCCGAAGCCCGAAGCCCTGGGCCCTAATTCCTAAGCCCTGAGCCCGAAGCCCTATGCCCTAAACCCTAAACCCTAAGCACTCAACCCTGAACCTTAAACCAAGCAAAGTCGCCAGGTCATCCGGGGCTGGGATGAGGGCGTTCCCACTATGAGCCTGGGAGAGTCTCTCGGCAGCAGCGGGGCAGTTTTCGCGACTTGGGCGGGGGGGGGGGGTTTTAGGGTTTAGGGTTCAGGGTTTAGGGGTTAGGGTTAGGGTGTCAGGAATTAGGGTTTTGGGGTTTAGGGTTTTGGCATCGGACACTGCGGCTGCGCGGGAGCGGGGGCGCCTACGTAAGCCCCACACTCTAAACAAACCCCACGCCTACAGGGTACTATGCCTTAAGCCCTGAGCCCTAAACCCCAAACCCAAACCCTAAACCCTCAACCCTCAACCCTCAACCCTAAACCCTAAACCCTGAACCCTGAACCCTGAACCCTGGCCCTGAACCCTGAACCCTGAACCCTAAACCCTAAGCCCGAAACCCTAAGCCCTAAACCCTAAAACCTAAACCCTAAAACCTAACCCTAAACCCTAATCCTTGAAAGAACAGGGTGGTTTATGGGGGGGTTTTGAGGTGGAGTTTGGGTTTAGGGTTTATGTGAGGTCTTTAAACCCCAACCCAAGCCCCTATAAACCCTACAAGCCCTATGAGCCTAGACACCCCACATACAAATCCTAAGAAGCCCAGGAATCCTAAGACCCTAAGACCCTAAGACCCTAAGACCCTAAGACCCTAAGACCCTAAGACCCTAAGACCCTAAGACCCTAAGACCCTAAGACCCTAAGACCCTAAGACCCTAAGACCCTAAGACCCGAAGACCCGAAGACCCGAAGACCCGAAGACCACGAGAGCCTAAACTTTAAACCCTAAACCCTAAACCCTAAACCCTAAACCCTAAACCCTAAACCCTAAACCCTAAACCCTAAACTCTGAACCAAGGAAGGCCATTCTTCGCATGACCTCCGACTACGGCTACGGATCCAGGGGCGCCGGCCGGGTCATCCCGCCGAACGCGGACCTCACATTTGAGGCGCGTCCCTAAACTTTAAACCCTAAACCCTAAACCCTAAACCCTAAACCCTAAACCCTAAACCCTAAACCCTAAACCCTAAACCCTAAACCCTAAACCCTAAACCCCAAACCCCAAACCCTAAACCCTAAACCCTAGACCCTAAACCCTAAACCCTAAACCCTAGACCCCAGACCCCAGACCCGAAACCCTAAACCCTCAACCCTAAACTCAAACCCTCAAACCCTAAACCGATTTTTTGAACTTTCGGGTGTTAGGGTTTGAAAGCTTGAGGCTGAGTGGGCGAGGCCCCGCATGCAAGGAGCTTGCTGAGGTTTCAGAGAAGGTCAAGAGGTGACTTCTTGGGATTCAGGATGTACTTTCTGGGGTTTGGGGTAGCCCAAACCACAAAAACCCTAAACCCTGGACCCGAAACCCTAAAAACCCCTAAACCCTAAACCCTTTTAAAGTTCTAAACCCTTAACGTGTACAGCCGGCCCCCGACCGCCCTAACAGCCCTGGCAGGTGGAGCTCTTGCGGATTAACTGAAGCGGTCAGCCGCTGATGCCGCCAAACTTCGCATCTTGCGCGGACGTGCGGACACGCCCGCAAGACTGGCAGATTCAACGCCAGAATCCTGAGTCTGGCCTAGCAAAGCTCAAAGAATGTTCTGTAGAGTTCAGGCAGGCGTAGCTATATCTTGACTCTTGCTGCGTGCAGTGAGAGGAAAAGATGAGTTGATGCAAAGAAGAGTTCAAACCCTCAGCCCACAATAACACCAAACCCTGCTTCTTAAACCCTCAAAAATCAACACGCCCTGAGGCATGACCTCCTGACCCCAACAAGGTCTAGAAGCTCCTTGAATCCCTCAGCCCTAGATCCTCAAATCCGGACCTCCACCAGAGCAGTTTAGGGTTCAGCGTTTTGTTCCCTTTTTGGGGTCCTTCTTTTGAGGGTGCCGTATTCACATCATATGGCCGTAATGTAGAGAACTACCCATGTACCAACCCTAAACAGCCGCAGTATATTGCTGGGATGGCCCGAGCTCAGCTAGGTCTGTACCAGCGCGTGCAAGATGTACTTCTTTTGAGAGGACTTTTGAATCCCCCCTTCTTTGCAGGTGCAGAACGCGCGGCCCTTTCCAGACATGGACAGCCGAGTTGCTTGCCAGTCCCCAAACCCCAAACCCCAAACCCAAAACCCAAAACCCAAAACCCAAAACCCTAAACCCCAAACCCTAAACCCTAAAACCCTAAACCCTAGCCTTAAACCCTAAACAAGGGAGGCCTGGCTACCCAGAGAAGCCTACTCAACCGCACCAGGTTCATGGGAAAGCCAAAGCTTCCCTAAGCCCTAAGCCCTAAGCCCTAAGCCCTAAGCCCTAAGCCCTAAGCCCTAAGCCCTAAGCCCTAAGCCCTAAGCCCTAAGCCCTAAGCCCTAAGCCCTAAGCCCTAAGCCCTAAGCCCTAAGCCC